CCATCACAAGCTTGTGTGGACTAAGTTAAACTCGAGAGTACATATTCCCTTATGTTTATGCGGTGAATAAATTCACAAGAAGACATAAGATATATGAATCCCGAAGGCTACTTGCTAGGCTTGTACGGTGAACAAATTCACACAAAATCATCGCTTTCAACACCACTTAAATAGGGTTTAGAGCTCGGGTATAGAGCATGAGATGATTTTTTTTTTAAAAATCTGAAATCACTGAAAAAACGTCAATACAACTATTTACTTTGAAAAAAAATAATCAAATGTAAATAATTGGAATCAAATAAATAAATTTAAATTTATCATTTCGCATAAAAAGACAACCGAAAATTAATTCTGGCCTGACTCACTTACCTGTTCCCAGTAGAGTCGCCAAGCTGTCGGAACCGTCTTTCGGGTGGGCTCTGGAATTGGGCTTCGACTTAGGAAAAATGATTTGGAGTCGCCATCGATCACTTTAACACAAATTTAGGTAGATCGAATACCATCTTACCTGATATGCGTTATACCAGAAATGTGTCGGGTTCGGGAGTCGGTTACGGTTAAGGAAGGATTAGCACCCTTGAACCGCCCTTTCGGTACCAATTAATTTACCGGTTGTCTTTAATTGCGAAAATTAGAAACTTAAATTAGAATTTAAAAACCCGTTTCGAATTACTTACCTTTGATCAGTTGGAATTCTTCTAAAAAGGTCGAAAAGGTTAGATAAAAAAATTAATATTAAATAATAATAAAATTTTCTAAAATAATGAATCAGATGAGGAAAAATAAATAAATAATGCATAAAAACAAAAACAAAAGCAAAACTAATAAAATAATAAATTTGTCCCGTAAGATAAAAAGCAAAAAAAGAAAAAATATAATAATAATAATATAATAATAATAAAAGAAAATTGTTAAATAAAATAAAAAATACGAAAAAATAGTTTAAAAATGAAAAGAAAAATATTAAAATAGAAGAACCAACAAAAAGGAAAAAAAGAAATGAAATAAAAAGTTAAAAAATAATAATAATAAAATAGGGGTCAGGGACTGAATGATAATTAAACCTAAACGAGACAGTGGCTAAAATGGAATATTTACAAATAACATATCAGAATTCAGGTAATATCAAACACACATCATATGTTAAATTAATGACTAAAAATGAAATCAATAAAACATTGTGACCAAAATAAAAGAAAAATAAAACTAATTAAATGGTTTTACACCAAAACTGCAAAGTGTTAGGGGTCTAAGGTGTGGTTATACCATACGTCAAAATGATGAACCCTTCCCCAATAATACGACGTCGTTCTAATTTTCCAAATAAATGGCCAAATACACGGCCACAGAGAAACCCCTGTGTGCAGAGATTATATTTGAAACAAACCTTTCCTTCTTCTTGTGCAATGGGTGGAGTTAGTTTCACGCTTGGTTTTCAAGTGGCAAGTGTTCGCTTTCGTTCTATGTTTCTATTTAATATCTTTGCCGAAGCCCACCACCACGCCTCGTTCGATTCTTCTTTTCTCAAGGCAGGTATTTCAAACTTTATCCGGAACTGTTCGAACGACACTTCGATTTTTGCTCTTGATGGTTTCTTTTTTTGCTGTTCGAATCTGTTTGAGTTCGAATCCTTGAACATTTCTCTAGTTTTCCTCGTTCCCATATTTTCCAGTGTTTACAGGTACATCTCTCTGGTATTTTTTTGCGTGATTTTTTTGCCTCCAGTAATCGTGTATTTGTTCTCTATTTTGTGTATCATAATCTGTCTATTTCAGTGGACGTTTACATCAATTTATAGGAACGAAAATCCTATTTTTAGACTCTAGTGTTTGAGTCCTAATCAAACTGTTTTTGCTTGTTTGTTGATGATGGGTTGCTGTCGAGGAAACCGCCGAACAGTTCGGGATTTGACCGAGACAAGTTGTTGGTTGAGGGGTCTTCCAAAACGACGCTGATGATTTGAAAAGAACAACCATAATCTACAACGGGTTAGTTCAAGCTCCCGGGTTAATGTGTTGGGTCTGCTCCAGACGGGTCACGGGTTCCAGGCCATCAACAGGTTTCTGTAGCTTGGGCTTTTGGGTTTGTGAATATCAGGTTTGAAAAAAACAAAAGGAAATGATAAGTGTGTGTATGTGTAGTAAAACAATGTGTATAATAATATAATATATATATGCTACATAATATATAACGACATGATATATATATATATATATATATATAGTACCCCACATTCTATTACACGTATGATACCCTTATAACATAAGGATGAAAATATGTGTCTACATTACCTGATCTGTGTTTTACCATAAATGTGTCGGGTTCGGGAGTCAGTTACAGTCAATGAAGGATTAACACCATTGAACTGCCATTTCGGTACTAATTAATTTGTCGGTTGTCTTAAATTGCGAAAATTAAAATTTAAAAATTTAATTCAAATTAATTACCTTTGATCAATTACTACTGGAAAAAAAGAAGTCAAAAATATGCTAGATGGTAAAATAAAAGAAATATCGAATAAAAATTAATTAAATAAAAAGAAAAATAAATAAATAAATCAAAGAAGGGAAAAATAAAAAAAAATGTTACATAAAAATGTTAAAAGAAAAACATAATAAAAGAAGAAAATGTTAAATTTCAGAAAAAATAATGAAAAAATAAACAATGAAAAAAATAAAAAATAAATAAAAAATGTTAAAAGAGAAAAACATAATAAAAAGAAAAAAAATTAAACAAAATGAAATAAAAAAGTGAAAAATAAAAATAAAATAAAAGAGTGTTAAATTTTAAAATAAATAAATAAGAATAAATTAGAGACTCAAATAATCAATTTAAAATAAATACAGGGACCTAAAAACTAAAATAACCCCATTAATAATACTGAAGACTAAATTGAAATACCCTTAAAACATGTAGGATCAAATAATAGTTAATCCAAAACAAGATAGTGACTAAAATGAAACATTTTCAAATATTAAAATCTGAATCGAACATTAACAAAATGATATGATACATAACATAGGGGACTAAAACATAACTGGGAAAATATACATGTCTAGAACAAAATAGCGTGAAATTTCATTAATGGCTAACGAACAAAGTAACAAAGAAGTAGGGACTCCAAATGATATTATTCCCTAAGCAAAATTACAAACTACTCCCCATTGAAACTACGTCATTTCGTGGGGATTAATAAAGCCCAAAACAAAGGCCAAACTCATATAAAACCTCATTTGTTTCCTTACCTCAAAACCAGGAGAGAGAGAGAGAGAGAGATATGAGCTCTCTCAAGAGCTTCAATCGAGCCCAGAATCCGGCAAAGCTCCGTCGCCTCGGCCGCAGCTGACCGGCGGTGGCTACCGTCCACTGGCATCGGAGAAGAGGAAAGATGACACCTTTCGAAGCGTTTTTCAACCTGGATACGAATTTGGTCTTCTTTTGGACTAAAAAGGGCTTAAACACCGAAGATCTACAAAGAAACGTTTCGGTTTCTTCGACTCCGACGACTCTTGGTATTCTCGGCACCCTTACAAGCTAAGTCCCTTCTTCCCTCTCTGTTTTCTGTATTGTTTTCTCTTTTTTTTACAAATCCCCTCCGAATACTTTGGCTTTTGCTCGATCGAAACCCCCCGAATACTCTGTATTTTTCTCTCGTATTTCCCCCTCTTATGGTTGCACGTATGAATTTATAGGCTAAAAAAACCTATCTTTTAGCTCGGTTAAAGACTCCTACTAAAATACTAACTCTTTTTATGTTTTATTGACTTGGTTATGGCTGAATTTCTCGATGAGGTGGGTTGAGATGTTGACGGCGACGCTGAGGTAAAAGGTTAGGGTTTTGAAACCCTAATCGACTCGGGTTAGAGATTGGGTCGGTTCGGGTCGTTCTCCGGGTCGAGTCTGGATCCGAGTATGCTTTGGGACTTGGTGGGATATTAAGGGTTTTGGGCAAAAATTAGTAACTACAGCTGCCTCTTTTTGTCCTTTTTCGTGGAACGAAAAAAAGGGCATAAATTTTTGTTCGGTGCCAATGGGCTTGGAAACAAGCATGCTCCTGTGAGAGTTGTTAACTTCTGAGCTTGGAATCCAACTCAAGGTTGTCGTTGAATTCTTGTCAACTACCCTCCACTGTGGAGTTGAGTTTCGAAAAATATAAGAGAATGACTCCCTGTTGTTGAGTCATGTTGTGGGTGACTCCAGAGTTGTCTTTGAACATGATATTCTTCGTTTTGAAATTGTAGTTTGGAATTTGAATCGGAAATTGTCTTCTTGTTGCCAAATCGTAGTCAACTTCGGTATTCTTCTCAGTTTAAAGACCTTGGTTTAAAAATTTGACTGGAAATAGTTCCTTGATTCCACCATGTGATTGGTAGGCCCTCGAGTGAACGAAATCGAACTCAAAAGTTTTCGTTGACAGATAGTTTTTCTCGACTTAAGTTATGCTGCTGGAAGATGGTTTCTTGTCACTAAAGCATATCTAACCCATGTCTTATTCTCAGGGATTTTTAATCAAACAATCCCAATGATTTAAACTATATTTTCAGGGATGGATAATGATAAAATATTAGATAAATTATTTATCTAGTCTTTTATTTTCTTTTATATTTTTTATTATTTAATTATTTTTATTTAAAATTATATTTATTTACTTATTTACCCTGACTTACTAATAACTGGAAAATGTTTTGTTATATACATTTTAATTACACTAAAGTAAAATGTCCTTTTTAAGTGTTAATCCTTTATCTTTTGCCACTAATGGGTCACTGGAATGAAAAAAGACGAAAACGTCATAATCTACTTAGAGATTGCTTATGAAACAAAATCAAAGACCAAACACACATTATGAAATATGAAATTTTGAAGAATACAAGAGAATTCGACGTATAGACAGCGAATATAATCTTTCTTCCTAATCCAGGCAACAGCCATGCTGTCTATAATATAAAAGCATGTGATTTCCCCCCGTTTCTCTACCCTGTCATTCATTCTACGTCGGTTGCAAATTCATCAACCAACTCTTTTTCAAGCCTTTTCTCTAGTCTGAACTTTTATCCTTTTTTATCCTTTTTCGTTTAATTTAATGTATAAACATAAAGTCCCTTTCACAGACATTAAGGAAGTTGTACTCTCAAAAGTTATGTCTTGGGTTTTAGGATTTAACCTTCCATGCAAGGTTCCCATGGAGTCCTACAAATCTCAGCCTTCCATTCTTTGTTTCTTGGTGATATCAAAGCACAAAGGGAAACATCAGATTCTAAGAAACTCCAAGTTTCAACCGCTGGGGAAAGATCTTAGATTGTAAAACACAGACAAAAATAGGAACATGGTCTTCTGCAACAGTAGCATTGAACCAGGACTTATAGTCCCTTCTACTCTTACTCCTGGTCTTGGATCCTGGTTAGTCTTATACATGTATTACAAAGGAAAAAAATCTTCTATTTCATTGCTTTTCAATAAGGTTTAATCACAGTCTATTATGAAATTTTTAGGAAACCCGGGATTCTAGGCATTCTGATGAGGATAATCTTACCCATGTGGAGGGTAACTGGCGGTCATTATTAAAACTTAAACGTCAGTACTACCACTCAATATCGTCAATAAGTTGTATGTATACTTCTTGAGCCTAACTTTATATACACGTGTTGTTGTGTATATATATGTGCACTACAGCAAAACGGGTATATAGCAGAGTTTGTCGCGGTGTTTTTAAAGTAAACACCACTAAATTTATACATATTGCGGCATTTATATCTAAAATACCACAAAATCTTATTTTAGTGACGTTTATATCTAAAACGCCACAAAATGGCATTTTGTTGACAAACAATGCTACAAATAAGTATTTTAGTGGCGTTTTTAAATAAACACCGCCACAAAATCTTACTTTAGTGGCGTTTCTAAACAAACGCCCCAACATAATCGTTCTTTAGTAGAGTTTTTAAACAAACGTCGTAATAGAGTACATATATCATGGTATTTTTATACAAACACCGCCACGAGTATGACGTGTTATAGTGGCGTTTTTGTAATAAGCGTCGTAATCATAGTCTGCATTAGTGGCGTTTTTGAGCAATTGTTTAGTCTTTTAACCTGACTGTTCCAAATCCCTAACTTTTCTACCTATTTATTAACTTTCCTACTCACACATTCATCACAGCACAGCCACCATCTAAACTGACTTGAAGGCTATTTCGGCAACACAATCTTTCATCGGATTATCAAAGGCTTCCTCGTCCAAGGAGGTGACCCCACGGGTTCCGACACTGGTAATCCCCCTTGTTATTCAACGAATTTTGTTTGCTCTAGCCGTTTTAAATTAGTTAAGGTTAGGGTTAGTCGAAACTTTAGTTATGAATTTGAGTTTTTTGTTTTTGGGTGGAGAAAGTATTTACGGAGACTATATTTAATCTTTTGAGGTGTTTTTCCATTTTATTTGCTTTTCCATTTTGACTCTTTGGTATTTAATTAAATTTTGATGATATAAGCATAACCTTTTCAAGTTAAATGGTCATGGAAAATAAAAGGGTCTGGTTCCTTTCTCAAGTTAAATTATTATTACTTCAAAAATAGTCTTAAATCTGATTACTTTTTACTGCAGTGATCCTTTTTTTTTTTTGAAAAAAAAAATCTTTTTTACTTGTTCATTTTGTGTGGTTAAGATTTAGTTTAGATGGTAAAGGTTGCAGGGGATAAGTGACAATGGAAAATAAAAATGTACAGTATTATAACATGCCAAGTAAAGATTAACAGACATTCTCAAGTTAAATTATTGGTTCAAACTCCATATTCAAGTACTTCAGACTGCTGTGATTTCCTTTTAAATACTTTTTTCATGCTCAATTTGTGTAAAGAGGAGTTAGTTTAGATGTTAAAAGATTTTAAAGGATAAGTGATCATGGAAAATAAAAGGTCCAGCATTATAACATTCCAAGATTATGGGACATTCTCTAGTTAAATCATTGATTCAAGATACTCTTTTGGCTGATTACTTCTGAGTGACATTAAAAAAAATTACATGTGCAATTTGTGCGAGAGTAGTTTGACATATGTAAATTAACTTTATTGCTCTTTTTCTTTGAAGATTAAGTACCATGAAACACAGCAGCGTGAGATTGATCATCAAAGTCGTGAGCTTCGTCTACATCAATCCAACAGGGTCTGGACAACTATTGTTATTTATTTATTTGTTTTACATGAAAGAAATGAGGATGATTTTCTTTTCTTGGACAGGTTACGGCTTTTGGTGGGGATGGAGTGCTGCGTCTTCTACGTGAAATTGCTTCTTCTTGGTTGTTCAACATCTTTGGATTCACATTATAACTACAATTGCTTCTTCTTGGTTTTTTCTGTTGATTTGCAGGATTGGTTGTCCAGGAATCTCTCGAGCAACTTTACATCTTTGGATTCACATTATAACTACAATTCTCTTTTCAACACTAATTCGGCACATCTGGAAGAGGCATAATTCCTTTGTTTTCACTGATACAGGTCCTCGATGAACGATGTCTGGAGTTGTTGTGTTTCTTAGAACAGCCACTTTGCAGGATGCGTACCTTCCCCTAGCTCTCCTTTGACTCGTCCCATGATCCACGTCCAGTGGAAACCACCCCTCTCAAAGCAGAGCTTTAGGGCATTCTTACCGGACTGAAATTGGCTTGGTCTCGGGGGGTTTGATCTATTTCAACTCTAAACGGAAAGCTCCCAAGCAGCAAAACTCCTCAAAGACTCCGACGCCTGTCATAATGCCTTTCCTCTTATCAGACCCATCTCAGCTCTTTGTAACCGGAGCTGGTTCGTTGATATAATTTTGATTCTCCGGGAAGAAAACCAGGTGGCTGACGAGCTCACCAAACGCCCCACTGCTCTAAATTTTCAACTGACCACCTTTACTGTTCCTCCTGCCACGGTCAACCTGCTTGCTGATCGAGACATCATGGGGCCTTCTTACTTTAGAGCTACTGCTTCGTAACTAGGCTTTTGCCTCTTCTTTATTCAAAAAATAAAGTGGAAAGATGAACATATATATTCTTTTCTATGGGCGTGATTCATAAGAAAGATGGAAAATTTGAAAGAAAAAGTATATTTTTTCACTCATTGTTTAGTAAGGGCTTAAAAAATTCGATTTAACTTAAAAATGTTCTTTTAAAAATTTTGAGTTATTTAAGTTAAATTGAATTAATAATTCAGATTTTAAGTTTGAGTCAGATTTAAATTTTAAAAGTTTAGAAATTGAATATTAAATTATGTTTTTCCATCTTTATATTAGTTAATTAATTTGATTGTTTTATAATTTAGTATATGATTTCATTGCTTCTCCAATTCTTCTTTGATTCTAAGTATTCCTCCTCTATTTTAAATCTATTTTAATCAAATTTGATTCACATGCTCTTCAACCATTACAAAAACATACGTAACTTCAATTTCTCCTTTATTATAAAAAAATTATTTATTTTTTAATTTAATCCCTCAACTTTGTATTTATTATATTTGATCATCATACTACAACTCATTGCAAATTGTTTATTCTCGTGAATTCTTTAACTCTTTGATGCTCTCATCAATATTTTATCCTTAAAATTCATTATTTATAAAATATAATTATAAATGTAGTGTATGATTTTAGATATTTGTTTTATTAAATAACATTATAAATCTTTTTTGTATATGAAAAAGGATATAAAATATATATATATATGTATATCATAAATGGTTAAAGAAAGTCATTTACCAATCAATGTCATAATATTATAAATAATTACAATTATATTTAAATAGAAACTTAAATAATTATATTTGATTCGATTTGACTCAACTAAAAAAACAAATAAAGTTTGAATGAAAAATAATACATGTCAACTCGACAAATTCAATTTTTTTCACTTTACTTACCACTATTATTTGATAGAATTAAAAGATGCAAAAAAATAAAGTTAATTATTTAATGACTTAATTCTATTAATATTTATTTCTTGCAATTCTATTAATTAAGTACCTTCAATTTATTAAAACAATCCTTCTCCTAATTGTTACCCCCCCCCCCACCAAAAAAAAACTTTACAAGATTTGAATTGGCTCATGGAATCATGTATACATTAATGTCGTGATTATTTAACATATTATTGAATACGTATTTTATCTTATTTAGCTTATTAAACTAAAATTAAAAATTGTATTGTTTAATTAGTTAAATATAATATTATCTAAAATATATATCTCCGGGTTACTACACTATATGATATTTAAGTATAACTTTTGTAGGCACTCGTTTTTGTCCGGGTTTTAATTACTTATTATTTATTATTATTATTATTGTTATTATCTTTTACATTTTACATATCCAATGGAGCCCAAGATTTAAAAACTATAATCAAGCCCAATGGAGATCCATCAGCCCACCCGGATAACCCAGCAAGCCCAACTGAATTGCTCTTGGGCCCAAACCCGATTAGGGGTTCATCTCAACAGCCAGCGGCCTCCCATCTCCAGCCATTGGATCTGGACCCATCCAACAGTCCAGATGCATCCAAAGCTTAGTATCATCTAGTCGTCGCCGCCGACCAAGAGAGACTGCCCAACCGACGCGTGTAGTGCATGCGCCCGACTCTTCAGTTTCCCACCGTTTGAGCAACCACCAATGAATCCTGAAGCCACCCTCATCATCAAACCCGACCGAGCATGCCCAAAACAGTGCACCAAATCAGTCAAAAAATAAAATCCAAATCAAATAAAAAAAACCCATTTAAAAAATAAAATAAATCCCGAAAAACCGGGATTTTACCCACTCAACTCAGAGATATCAATCTCGTACCAAATAGACTTCATGATTTCACCCGAAGATCATCATTAAAATAGAGCATGCAAGTAATATTTTGGGCAGAGAGCGACAACATAGAGAAAAGAAAAGAATGCAACCACAATAAAAAGAGAGAGATCATATTCGAACCAGGCTGAAGCATTCGAACAAAAAGAGAAAAAACCGAAAGAAAAAAGGAGGAAAGTTTACCTGCTGGCAAGGTCCAAGACAATTCGGCTTTATCGGAGACCAGGAGAGCCACGATCGGATGTAAAGATTTCTAGGTCTTTAGGGTTTCTAGAAGAAGGTTTTTGGGGTTTTGAGTTTTTGAAGGGTCGGGTTTTTAGGGTAAGTAAGGAGGAGGGAGAATCGGGGGTCTTTAGGAGTTTGTTCGCTCCCTGTAACCGCCGATATACGGCGATCGGAGAGCCTTAGCTTTCTATTTCGGTGAGGCTCGGGAGGATTTTCTCCCTTTCTTAGAAGGAGAGAGGCAGCAGGTGAAAGGTAAATGAAAAGGGTGAGAGTTTTAAAACCCTAAATGAGCTTATTCAACACAACACCGTTTAAGGGGGCTTAAGGCATGCGTGTTTCAGCGCGTGGGTTAATTACATGTTAGGTCCCCATATTTTGTATATTCGACATGTAGCCATTAACTAAAATTTGGTGATATTTTGTTTTGGGTATTTAATTCCCTAAATTTATATTTAAGTCACAATCCTATGTGTTATGATATTCTCATTGATGTTTGACTCTGGCCAAAATATTTTGCAAATCTAACATTCTAGTCATCGTTTTGTACATGGATGCGTTTAGGTAAAATTATTGTTTATCATCCCAAATTTTCGATTTATTTTATTTCAATCATGGATATCGTTTAAGGTCTATTTTCATTTCTAGGACTTGTATTATGTGATATTTTCAGTTGTTGGTGTTGTAGTTTTGTCTTTCAGATTACTATTAATTTCATTTAGCCTTCTTAATCATTATGTATGTTTAGTTCCCTTTATTGTATTTCGATCCTCAACGATTCCATGTTTGTACTTAGGTCCTTGATGTACATTTACATATTTGTACAGGCACAATATCATATGTATATTATAGTTTTGTATTTTTTCGGTAAGATAAAATTTTATTTTATTTACATGTGTTTCACTATGTTATGGTAACTGAACATTTTAATTTTTTTTTATTATGTCCCAAATATGTATGTATATACTATATAATGTATATATTTATTCAACATATTTTGATCTTCATATATTTATGTATGTATTTTTTAGAACTGATATTTTTGAACAATCACAAAATGTTGATTTTACTTGCTATGTTTAATGTCACTTACTCAAATATATTTTTAAGAACACTCATCGTAGAATGGGCGTGAAAAACACTGTTTGATCGAAGTAGTGTGATTCAATACGACATTCTAATGATAGGTGAACTTGAAATTGATCAAATTTATTTTTTTAATTCATTCTTTTATTTTAGTTTAATGGCAATGTTTGTTTCTTAAAATGGTATGTCATGTTGTTTATGAAATTACCAATAATTTTCGTTCGATTTGTAATCTTTGGCAACAACGAGGAGGTAATATTCTTTTATAGATAAGAAATAGGCAAGACAGCTTTCTCGATGGAGGATTGCTAATCTCGGGATTTCTTTTCAAGTTAAAGAATTTTCCTTAATAAATAATTCGGAGCAAATTAATCAAACTTTAATAAATGGATCATACTTTAATTATCGATGTGAATTTATGATTTCTGCCATTTACGATAATATGTAAGTGACTAAGTATCAATTTTAGGCGTTGTGGGGGTGTTAATCATTCTCCACGCGTAATCAACTACCGGATCCGTTAAATCTGAGTTTTGGTAAACGCAAACCAATTTTTGTCCAAAAAATTATTTTTCTCAAAATTATTTTAAAGAACGTTTTTAGGTATTCGACCTACCTAACACAAATGTCGATAGCGACCCTCATTCAATTTAGTTCAAATTAATTCCAAATTTTTTCAAATAAAGTCGTAATTATTTTTGTAAACTTAATTGTTTTAAAAAAAATGGTTATGTCAACTTTAGTATTTAATTTGGTACTTAAAGTTTTTATATTCCAATTAAATAAGTACATTTGGTTTATGCTATTGAATTTGATATCAGACCAAACAGTCAACTTCTAAATTCGACCCAACTAATTTTTTAACAGGTACAAAAAAAAGTTGTATCAGTTTTAGTACGAAATAATTAACTAATAGTTTGCTCTTAATAAACGATGAAATAAAATCAGATCAACAAGTATTTGAATTCATGTTTGAGAGTATATTTTTAAGATTTGCAGATCACCACTCTTTTGACTCAAATCTCAGTAGAATATTTTTTTTAAAGAGTTATGAGTAGAATTGCTCTTCATTTATAGTCTGTGAGAGGGTACTAAAAACGGTAAGAAAACATTTTATTAACCATGATTAATGATTGTCTTCAATCAATTTTCAAGTAGATATTTAAGGATTAAATCAATCAAATAATTAATCATGGATCACGAAATTATATATTTACCTTCAAACTAATTTTTTTCTAAGTTTGTTTTATGGGTATCTGGTACTTCGAGTACCTGAAAATATGATTACCCGTACTTGAACACCCCTTGTCGTAACCGGTTTTCGTCTGGGCATAAAAATTTTATTTGGCGGGAAAAATGATGTGAATAAATGATTTTTAAAATATTTTGGGAGTCGCTATCGGCCTTTTGGGTCAGGTAGGTCGAATACTTAAAAATTATCTTTTAAAAGCGTTTTTAAGAAAACATTAGTTAAAAAATAAACTGGTCTGCGTTTAAACCAAAAATTCGTTCTTTTTAATAATAAAAATGGATTCGTGGTCGATTACGTTTGGGGAAGGATTAACACCCCCACAACGCCCAAAATTGGTACTCATTAATTATAAGTTGTCTCTATTATTGGAAATTTTAAAAATTCAAAAATATATTTAATTCATAATCCTGTTATTTCAAATTTATTAATATAATTTTAAGAAAATATATTAATAAGATATATATTTATTTATTTAGAAATATCAGAAAAGGACTTCTAGGTGCTTTAAGACAACCTATTTCTTAATATTAAAAAATATATAAATATTAAAAAATGATTATTTTTCTAAGAAAATAATTTAAATAAAACGATATGTATTTTCTGGTTTTTATAAGTAGGATATTTATTTATTTTTAAAATACCAGAATAAAATATCTAGTTGCTTTAAGACTGTCATTTTCTTTGATATTAAAAATAAACAAATATTTATTTAAACAAATATATATATATATATATTTATATGACTAAGATAATAATAATAATAATAATAATTAAATGTATAAACATATAAAATATAAATAAATAATGACTAAAATAAATAAAATTAAAAGCAATAATATTAAATTGCAAAATATTAAAAAATCAGGGTTAAAAATGAAAAGAAACAAAATATTGGTGACTAAAAAGTAAAATATCAAAATTAAAGGACATAATTTGAATTATTATAAAAATATAATTACTAATAGTGTAATTTAACCTATATTAGTTATTCGGGATTGAAATATTAAATATAAAAATATGAGGGACTAAATGTTGTATTTATCCTAAATATATATATGAACTGATAATGACCAAATTATAAAGTACATAAAATTAAAAGACCGAATTTAAATGATCAAAAATTGTTTTTAGTGACTAAATTGCAAAGTTACAAAAGTATGAGTGTTACGGAAACAATTTTCCCACGTGGGAAATTACACAGGCACTCGTATTTATACCTCTTTAAACGGCCCCCAAGGGCCATTAGCTTCATTTCTTCTCTTTGGTTCTCTCTTTAAGAGAGAGAACCCTCTCCCTTCTCTATAGCTTCCCTCACCTGAGGGAGTTCCAGTCACCGACCGACAGCCCTCTGCCATCGCCGACCACCGTTCGCGGTGGTCAAAAATTACAAATTGACCCAAAATAACCTTCGTTTTACCCTAAAACCAAAATCAAGGACCGTTTAGCCTAAAGACTCTTAAATCGGCCTAGATCTAAACTTATTACCTTCGGTATTTCGGCTTTTCAACGGCGTAGGGAGGCTCCGACGAGGGTAAGTTCTCTCAATCTCCCTTTTTTTCGTTTGTTGTTTGGTTATTATTTTTTCTCGGTATTCTCTGTCTTGCTCTCCGTTCGTCGTTTCTGTTGTGTTGTTGGTGTTGTTTTGCTCTTGGGTTCTTGCTCTCTGTTTCTCTGTCTTTGCTCGCTGGTTCCTCCTCTCTTTTTTGCAGGTTAGTCGATGGCTTTTATAGCCATTACCAGTGATGGCCTTGGACTGGTCACAAGGGTTGAGCCTCGATGAGTCATCATAGCTATGGTGGAAACTCACCATAGAGCAGGCGGCAGCTGTAGTCCCTAGGGTATCATAACCCTAGGGCTTCTTGTTGGATATCTTTAGACCGTTGGATCTTGATAGATCCAACGGCTAATGGTGGATGGCGGCTAGAGAATATGTTGTAACCCTAGAAGGGTTTAGGGTTATCGTCTGGGCTTTTGGAACTGGGCCACCGTGTTTGGTCACTGTTGGGTCAGAGTTGGGTCTGGTTGTAAATGGGCTCCGGGATTGAATTTATTTGGGATTGTATATTTTTATTTAATAATAATATAATATATATAATATAGTAATATTTATAATAATAATAATAACAATAATAATAATAATAATAATAATTTTAATTTTAATAATAATAAAAGTAAAACGAAATGAAAAAAATTAATGTTTACAGCTGCCCTTCTTTGCTCATTCTTGTGTTAACAAGAATGGAGCAAAGATGAAAACAATAATTATTTCATTTGGCTTCTTTTGAGTAGGATGGAATTGTTGAAAACATTCTGTCTAGAGGTCCTATCATCTTGCACTGAAGGGCTTACAGATGACCTGAAGGTTTTGAAAACATCATGCACTGAAGGAATTACAGATGACCCGAAGGTTTTGAAAACATCATGCACTGAAGGGCTTACAGATGTGGGAAATAGTTTACTAAGTAAGAAACTATGGAAATCGTTTTCTTACTATTCAACAATTTCATTTTCAGAAAAGATTAAATGAGAAACTTTGGAAAGCGTTTTCTCATTGAAATAACTTGTTGATTGAGCAACATGCCCCAAAATAATACTTTTTCTGTGGATTGCGTCCATCTATTCTTCATATGTTTGTGTGATTCTCGTATTTGAGGTTTTGAATTCTACCTTCTTCTTGTAAGGTATTTTTCATAATGAATCTTCTTTTTCATATGAAAATCTGTAAAACCTTATGTTTGAATGCAATTAAATGTATCAATGTAATGTATTTTCTGTTATGCAAATGAATGTTTATGCAATCTTCATTTGACTTCAAAGTGGTGAACTCGGTATTCCTTCACTTCATCATTTATTACCAGGGTTACCTTTGGATATCAGTGTAGCAACCTATGCCATAAAGTTGAAGAACCATTTGATCAACTTGTATCTTTGTGTGTTC